TTGATTGCTTCTTCTATTTCATCCATTGTTATAGGTCTGTTTAAGTTGTGAGTATCCTCCTGACTCAGTCTGGATAAATCATATGACTTAAGAAATTTATCGATGTCTTCACTATCTTCTATTGTTTTGGAATATAGGTTTTCAAAATAATTTCTAATTATCTTCTGTATTTCTATAGCATCTGTTGTGATATTGCCTTTTTCATCCCGTATGTTAGCAATTTGAGTTCTCTCTCTTCTTCTCTTCATTAGCATGGCTAAGGGTCTGTCGATCTTATTTATTTTTTCGAAGAACCAACTTTTAGTTTTGTTAATTTTTTCAATAGTTTCTTTTGTTTCAATTTCGTTGATTTCCGCTCTGATTTTAATTATTTCTTGCCTTCTGCTACATTTGCTGTTGTTTTGCTCTTCCTTTTCTAGGGCTTTGAGATGAAGTGTGAGCTCATTTATTTGTTGGTTTTTCCTTTTTTTGAGGAATGACCTCCAGGCGATGAATTTCCCTCTTAAAACTGCTTTCATTGTGTCCCATAGATTCCGATATGTTGTGTCTGTACTTTGATTTATCTCTAAGAATTTTTTGATTTCCTCCTTTATGTCTTCTGTAACCCATTGATCATTCAGTAACATATTGTTCATTTTCCATGTGATGTAGGATTTTTCCTTCCTTCTTTTATCATTGATTTCCAGTTTCATTCCATTATGATCAGATAAAATGCATGGTATTATCTCCACCCCTTTATATTTACTGAGGGTTGCCCTATGGCATAATATATGGTCTATTTTTGAGAAGGATCCATGTACTGCTGAGAAAAAAGTATATCCACTTGATGATGGTTGATATATTCTATATATGTCAGTTAAGTCAAGGTTATTGATTGTGATATTGAGTTCTATAGTTTCTTTATTCAACTTTTGTTTGGAGGATCTGTCCAATGGTGAGAGAGGTGTGTTGAAGTCACCCATAATTATTGTGTTGTGGTCTATTTGATTCTTGAACTTGAGGAGAATTTGTTTTATGAACGTCGCAGCACCATTATTTGGTGCATAAATATTGATAATTGTTATGTCTTGTTGGTGAATGGTTCCTTTTAACAGTATATAATGTCCTTCCTTATCCCTTTTGATTAACTTAGTCTTGAAGTCGATTTTATTTGATATGAGGATGGCCACCCCTGCTTGCTTACAAAGACCGTGTGCATGGTACATTTTTTCCCAAAGTTTCACCTTCAGCCTGTGTATGTCTTTTCCAATCAGATGTGTCTCCTGGAGGCAGCATATTGTTGGATTTGTTTTTTTAATCCATGTTACCAGCCTATATCGCTTTATTGGAGAGTTTAAGCCATTAACGTTTAGAGTTACTATTGATATATGGTTTGTACTTCCATCGATGTTTGATTATTTATCTTTTTTTTTTAATTTAGTTTGTTTCTCCATGATTAGCTTTCCCCCCACCCTCTGTCTTTACTGAGGCACTTCCCACTGATGGTTTTGGTTATGGTTTTTCATTTCTTCCTCGTGTAGTGTTTTGCTCAAGATGCTTTGCAATGCTGGTGTTCTGGCTGCAAATTCTTTTAACTTTTGTTTATCATGAAAGATTTTTATTTCGTTGTCGTACCTGAAGTTTAATTTTGCTGGATACAAAATTCTTGGTTGGCATCCATTGTCTTTCAGTGTTTGAAACACATTGTTCCAGGATCTTCTCGCTTTCAGCGTCTGTGATGAAAAATCCGTTGTTAACCTTATTGGTTTACCCCTGAATGTAATCTGCCTCCTTTCTCTTGTAGCTTTTAATATTTTCTCTTTGTTCTGTATATTGGATATCTTCATAACAACGTGTCTTGGCGTTGATCTACTATGATTTTGTATGCTTGGTGTCCTGTATGCATCTACAATTTGTATATCCATTTCCTTTTTTATTTCTGGAAAGTTTTCTGTAATTATTTCATTCAGCAGGTTACTCATTCCCTTGGTTTGAATCTCTATACCTTCTTCTATCCTGATGACTCTTAAGTTTGGTTTTTTTATGTTATCCCATATCTCTTGGATGTTTTTCTCGTCATTTTTTTATCAGCCTTTCTGAGTTGGCTAGACTCTTTTCAAGATGATATATTTTGTCTTCATTATCTGACATTCTGGTTCTACTTGCTCCACTCTGTTATTGATACTCTCATTTGAGTTTTTAATTTGGTTTATAGTTTCCTTCATTTCTAGAATTATTGTTTGATTTTTTTAATAATCTCTATCTCCTGATAAAGATGCTTAACTTCTTCTTTTATCTGTTTATGTAATTAAATTTCAACGTGTTCTTTCACTGTTTGAATTTGCTGTCTCATATCCTCTTTAAGGTTCCATTCCATCTGTCTAAGGTATTCCTTGAGTTCTTTATATGACCATTTTTCTGATGACTCTAGGTCCTCCTGAATATTTAGGCTGTCCTGCATTGTTTGTACTCCTTTTCTTCCTTGCTTTTTCATGCTGCTCATGTTACTTCTTGTTCTGTTTGACTGCTGAGTTACTGTTTACTCCTATAAATTTATTTGATGCTTGGGAGGAAAGGTATTAGAAGGGAAGGGAAGAAGTCACTAAAGAGAATGAGAGTAAGCAGGTAGAATTCAAGGAAGGGGGAATAAGAAAATAGAAAAGAAATGAAAAGACAATAGAAAAAATAGAAAATAAAAAAGAAAAAATTAAAAATTAAAATTAAAAAAAATTAATTTTAAAAACAACAAAAAAAATGAAAATAAAAAAACAAATTAAAAAAAATTAATAAATGTAGTCTTAGAGTTTGATTAACTTCTCTTCCAGTAGGTGGAGCTGTGCCCACCGGGCCAAGCTTCTCCTCTCGATCCGCGGGAACCAATCGCTGTGCAGCAGCTCCTCCTCCAGACTGGGCGAGTCTCCAATCCTGAGTGCCTAGGGCCTTCTCTTGTGTCTAGTCACTTCCCCACTTTTCCTCAAGCCAGGCTCTGATCACCGGTGACGCTCACCACAATACTGGCTACACGCCAGGTCTGCTGCTCCCGGGAGCCCTGTTTTCATGAACGACTGGGCACACTCTCCTGTTTGCCATTCCCTTAGACCCTAAGTTTGTAGAGCTTGGGGCTGAGAACGCTCAGCAAAATTTGCTTGCCCTCCGGTAGCCACGCCCCCAGTAGCTGGTGCAAGAGACCTCAGTTGTCAGCACTGGTGGGAGTGGTAGCTGAGAGTTCCGCGCCGTGGGTCCCGCGCCACTCCTGATTCCCTAGGTCTGGCTATCGCGCTCACGGGAGAGCTGGGAGGGGCTCTTATGGGAGAGCTGGGAGGGGCCCTTAAGGTTTCCCTGCTGTATGAAGAGGGAAGGCTAGGGGGTTACACACCTGTCGCCGCTGGTTTCAATAAAGTTATCTCCTCTGCCACATTCTGGTGACGTCAGTTCTCTGCCATGGTGGTATCCCATGCAAATGGCGACAGTTCATTTCCCTTTGCCGGGTGACCAATGCAATGGGTGGGTCCTGACTGGCTCTCCCAAGCCCCGTTTCAATCCTGTGGCCACTGCCTATGAAGGCTCAGTTGGCATTTACCTCCGTAGGTGCAGAAGGGCGGACCAGTTGTTTCAGCGGGATTGTTTAGTGCTGAGTCACAGCTGTTTGTCTGTGAGAAGCAGGAGAACGGGAGCTTGAATTCAGCCGATCCGGGCTTGGTGTGTGTTCTGAGAGGCCCAGACTGTTCGCCCCAGATCCACGTCAGCTCAGCATTGCCTAGTGATCCTGAGCAAACAGCATTTAGACGGTTTACGACTCCCTATGCCCGCGCAGCTGAAGAGGTCAGAGACTTGATCTCTCCACGCCCGCTGCCATGTTGGATCTCCGCCTGTCAGCTCTTAAGCTGCTAAAGTTTCCATTTGTTCTACCACAGAAGTACAACATGAAAGTACAAACATGCAATTGTTAATATGGGTAACCAGCTTGATGGGGAAGAAGTGAGTGTATTTGAATGAGTGGAGAGAAATGTCTGGTGAGTCAAGATTGAAGAAGAACTTGATAGGGAGTAGATAATCAGCTTTTACTTTATACATCTTTGCATTTTTTACTTGCAACAAGCATGTATAAATTCCATAATTAATATATATATATTAAAATATATATGTATATATGAAATATATCTTTTAAAATATTTGGCTAGGTTAAATTCTTTTCAACACTCTAGTGGGTTGTATGGTGGCTTCCTAAAAGATATGTCTGCCCAGATCTCTGAATATGATTTTATTTGCGGAGAATGCAAAACTGTCTTTGTAAATGTAATTGAATTAAGCTCTCCAGATGAAATCATTCTGGATTAAGGAGGACCCTAAATCCAGTGTCCTGTCATAAAGAGAAGAGAAGGAGAGAAGACGCATGGAGACAAGAAGGTCATGTGAAAGCTGAGGTCGAATTTGACCTGAATGCCACAGTCCAAGGAATACCAAGAGCCAGTCAAAGCTGAAAGTGGCAAGAAACAGGAGTTCCCCTAAAGCTGCTGGAGGTAGGATAGCCTTCCTGGCACCTTGATTTTGGACATTAGGCTTCAATAATAATGAGAGAATATGTTTCTGTTGTTGTAAGCCAATAAATTTGTGGTGATTTGTTGCAGTGATCAAGGAATCTAATATAGACACCAAACTTTATTTTGATGAAGGTTTTCTATGAAAACATTAGAACCGCTATGTGCATAATTGTGACACCCTGTCCACTCCTTTCATCTCTATGTCACCAACAGCAACACCACGAGCATAACTTGACCATCATTGATTTAGATCACTACCCTTTTGGTACAGATGAGAAAAGCAGGATAGGAAGGGTGTTTCCCACCATATAATCAGGCAAACTCAAAGCAAGACTTCGCTGTTTTATGAATTTGGCCTTGGAAGGCTTGGGGTCATTTTGAGTTCCTTGTGACAGCTGGCATATGTTCAGTCAGCATATGCATATGCATTTTGCTGTCACACAATCACTTTGTAAAATTGCATTAACTTTTCTTTTTTCCTTAAGTGTCTGTTTCCTTTGGAAAGGATTTTGCATAACCCATTGGTTTCTTACTGAAGATCTGCCTCTTTCACTTGAAATATGTATCCCTGTTGGGTTCTTAATTCTGTGTTTCTGATCCGTCATGTGACTATGCTAAGCTGAGAATTCCCACCACATCATTGGATGCAAATAGTCCAGGATATAAAACTGCTTTAGAAGGCGCAAGACTTAGGGTGCAGAAAGAATGAGTGCAGCCTGTGTGCAGTCAGGGAAGGAGAAAAAGAGTAAGTTTTGAGCAATTGCAGTTAAGGTGCTGTCTCCCAGTAGGGCACAGGATTTGTGCACAGCGAGGCAGATTTATTCTTCAAAGTGGATGCTCTTTTATTTCTGCCAAAAGGGAGGAAAAAAGGAAAAAATTTCCCACTATATTCAAAGCAGCATTTTAAGGCATCTGAGGCTTAAAAAACTCTGATGAGTGAGATGAGGTGTGCAGAGAGGTAAAAGAATCTTTGTCAGGTGACAACAGCCATCATTTTACAATGCATATAAAGGTATTTTTGCATGCTTGAGATCAATATATGTTATATGCAGTAGAGAACAGAGTAAATCAGAGCTAAGAAATAGTTTATAAAGACCTTTGACTTGATTCTTTTGCAATCACATAGGTATTGTAGAGTTTTGAGTAATAGGTGTGAAAAACCATGATTGTTACATATTGACATGGGGTACATGGACAGCAAAGGATAAAGAAGCAGTGAAAAATCAGGATGATAAAAACAGAAATACAAAAATGAATGACAGAGATTTTTCTATTTATTACAACTAAGGGATGGCTTTACATATATTAAAATATAAATATAGATATTCACAAAGAATATATTTTAAATATTTATAATTTCACTATTTATGTAGTTTGTTATATTACAATCCCTATTATTAGTCATATAACATTAGCCCCAAATCTTGTACAGGACATGATTTTACTAAAAAATTGTCATTTCTTCGAAGTTCAAATTTAACTAGCATTCTGTTTTTAAATTGCTGACTCTGTCAACCATATTCTTAGGAATTTGTTTGTGCACTATTTTTAATACAGAGGACTTTCTTACTTCTTATCCAAGTGTCATTGGTGTCAATCCCAACAATTCCACTCTGTAGGTCTTCCTAATTTCTGGCAAATTTACAGGAAGCTTATATTTGCAGGTCTTTCCAGGTTTTCATGTTTCTATACTGTTACTTATGGCCCCACAACTCCTCTATTTGCAATGATACTCAGCTCTTTCTTAGTTTTCATAGTCAGTTCCTGCCACCCAGAGTGCCCATTCACCCCCAGACAGGAAGAATTTGTTTTGGTTTGGGGTTTAGTAGATCATTATTAGAGGCAGAAATATAAAAACTCATATTTCCCCCTCCTCTCTTCTACATCACTCAAATCTCCTTTTCCCTGTACCCCTGGGAAGCTGAAGTCTTCACTGAAACTTTCAAGTTAGTCTTTTCTTAGGCCTGAGTGGTCAGAATGGAGAGGGAAAAGGAATTCACCTTCTCTCAAAGTTAAACCATTTCCCCAAGAGAGATGGATCTCTCCTATGCTGAGAGCCATAGCCAAGTAGGAATGACACATGGCAATTTCCTTGTCAGCCTACCCAATGTTGCTTAGAGGGAGGACTCTCCATTGTGGAAATGGGCTTGCCTTGGACCCAGGTCATTTGCAGTGACATTGCATGAATGTTTGAGAGTTTTGGTTGAAAGGTGACCCTGCTCAGGGATTAGGGTGGATCCGGGTTTAGGGTGGATCCTGCTGGGAATAGGGCAGTTCCAGGTTTAGGGTGGATCCTGCTGGATTAGGGTGGCTCTGGGTTTAGGGTGGATCCAGGTTTAGGGTGGATCCTGCTGGGAATAGGGCGTATCCTGCTGCCTCAGGAGCCCACTCCTGGAGTTCCCCTTGAGTTCTCGCGGGATTCAGAGGGTATTTGGTAGGCAGAGCCCGGTGGATGGTGTATTTTCCCAGAACGTGCGTGTAGAGTGCCGGTGAGAGTTCGAGAATAAAGAGTTGCTGTTTGAATCTACAAGACTTTTGTGGTGGCTCGGTTATTTTGTGCCCAGCCAGACTGAGGCACTCCTAGAGGAATTCTGCTCCAACTGTGAAGGGAATGCATTTTCTCCATCTTATCACATATTCATTGGAAGCATAAAAGCAAGTTGGGAGGAAAAGTTGGATTTAATAATATGTTATTGCAAAAATCGGTGTGAACTCATGTCCTTAAAAGACTTATTTTCTAATTCTATCATTATTATAAATGGCCTAACAGCAGGAGCACTACTCTAGTTTATTATGAACCCTCATATGTGCCTCTAACACACAAATTTTGATCCTTTGAGGGTAGTGGACTCATGTTTGGAATGAAGACAAAATGAGATGGATCTAAAATAATCTGTTTACCAGATCAAGGCTACTTTTTGAAACAGGGTTCGGTGAGATGGTGTTTTGATGACAAAACAACCTGCAAATAATAACCTAAGTAAGAATGCTAGTGGCTAAGTTGGAACAGGTTAAACTATAGAAAGTCCCAAGTTCACAATTATAGTCCAAAGAGAAAACACAAGTTGTGTAAATAAGTACTTTCAAGGCATTGAAGGAATAATTCAAATGGGATATTTACATCATACTGACCTAACAAGTAGGAGAGCATCGCAGTTCTATGTCTTGTTCTCTCTGTTTGGCATATGTTTTCTTACTTTCAGCATATGTACATGTTTCCATTTGTGTAAGAAGAAAAGAGGAACTAAAATACAAAATGAACCAGTATGACACAGGATTTCTACACCACAAGGTAGACCTTTTTCTTAGTATAGAAAAGACCCAAAAAGGATATACTAAATAATAAAGGATTTATTACCATTCATGGTCTTATGTAACTATCACAGTTCATTACAATTAATTATAGCTATGGCATTCAGGCATACACAATGACATTTACAGAACAGGATGTCCTCAAACTATAAATGGACCGAATGTTCTGGAGGGGAAAAGAGGTTCAATCATTATCTTCTAGAAGATGAAACACTGACTAGTTATGAATAAACTCCTGTGAATTTTAGTGAAGAACTAATAAGAAGCATGTATATTTTAATAATTATGTCAATATATCACAATGTCAAGGTAATGATGTAGATACTTTTGGCTGTAAGTGACCTAAAGAAAGGTAAGTATTCAAAATTTTAACTCTCTATATTTTTTTGGTACTGGGGATTAATGCAAGAGTTGTTTTACCACTGAGTTATATCCCCAGCCCTTTTTATTTTTTTTAATTTTGAGACAGGGTCTTAGGGTCTTGCTATGTTGCTTAGGGCCTCACTAAGTTAGCCTCAAATTTGTCATCCTTTTGGCTCAGCCTCCTGACTTGTACCACTGCACCCAGCTTTAAAATCTGTATTGAAGACAGGGATGTGTGGGAAATGTAATAAGTGAAAGCTTGATAGAAGGGGCACTTGCTGTATTGTAAAGACTGAAATTTGCTTCCCCTTGAACCATACTACCAAATTTTACTCTCCAGCTAACAACCTGGATTCTGGTATTTTGAAATGGCATTCTTTTCCTTTTAGACCTGGAAAAATTCTGAAAAAAGTAAAACACTCTAGGGGGGTTATAGACATTTGTTCTGGTAAAGCTACTGAAAATTTAGAAAGATATTAGAAAAACTCAAACCCCAGAAGGCAGTAGAAATAAAAAAAGTGAAGTTTCATTCATGGTATTAGCCCTTTTGCCACCAGTTTTTATTTTGTGTTATTGATCAGTTATGACTCTTTCAATCGGTGTGTATGTTTTATTTGCTACATAGGATATTTAAAATATTTAAAAGAATCAGTCACACAAATTACTAATGGCACTTCAAATTATTTAAAATAATTTGATTAACCAAACTTATAGTCAATAACTAAATGCCCACACAAATTGATTTTCCATGAGTTGTTATTTAGATATGTGGATTTAATACAGTAAACATTGAGTGAAAGAAAGAATTACACTGAAACAAAATGATTCCTGAGATGTAATTATAAAAATTTCTATTTATTTATTTTTGTGTTTCACTGCTTCTTTAAATATGGTCTCCTGGGTTAATTCTTCTTCAGTCCTGTTGAAAACTGACGTAGGTCTATGGTTTTTCTGGTCATGGTTCCATTAAATTCAGACAGTTTTTAGTTAATAATTAAAATGTCCAGTTCCATTTATTATTCAAATGTGTAAATTAAAACTGAAATTTCTTTCCATTCCTAACTTGAGCCAGCTACTTGCAGGAATCTTATAGTTGGGAAAAGATACAGGTGGTTGCTACTCTAGGACTTGTATTTCATCCCCTTTCTTGATCTGGCTGATGTATTTCTGACCACTTTGAAGTGAGGGTACCTGAAGGAAAGAGAAGAAAGAAAGAAAGTAGGAGAGTGCCTATCATTGGTGGTATCATTAGCTAGAGCCATGCATTCTGGACTCAGGAGACAGAGTGGACTCCTTCTCTCTCAAGAGTACTTCGGAGTCCTCCCCTCCCTCAGTTATGAGGGTCACCTTGCTGAGGTCTTTTTTTGACCCTAGCCAGTGCATCTCTATTTTGGATAGCTTTTTATTCCTTTCCCAGTCCTTCGACATTTCTTGATATCTTCAAATTCTGTTTTGATAACTGCCGTGTGATTCTCTTGTGTAGGACTTCGAATGACCCCACACTAGGTTTCCCAAATGTGTCCCCCATGTATGCTCATGGAAGGTATTCATGTATTGTTTTTCCCCAGCTAAGTCTGGATTTGTAAGCTAATCTTAACTCTTTAACTCTATTATCAAAATAATAAGCTGGTTCTCTCTCACCATTCCCACTATTCTCATGGTGAGGAGGAAGCTACTTCTCTGGTGGGACTAGTGGTACAATTCTGCCCAAAGAACTCTTCTTCAGATTCTTTTTAAATATTTAACTCTTGATCTATTTAAATCCTTCCAGTCAGTTTGTATTTAAACCCTGTGACCAGTTTCCACAAACCTCCTTTTTGAATTCTGCATATAGTTCAGTGTCTCCTTTAATTTATAATAACCTATTATATTATTTTGCTTCTGCCAAACTTTCATTTTAATATGCAGTAATACAAAGTACAAACTTAGTAGTATTGTATTCTGTGCACAAAATCTCTTCATCAGAGACTCTCACATTTGCAAATATCTAAATTAGAGGACCATTTGGACTAAAAACAGATTGTAAATATCTGTCAGTATC